GACACGTCAAGAGACAGTAATATGGGACTGGAGCGCATACGAAAAACAATATCAATACGCAAAACTGGGGACATACGCCGCCCACGTAGGTGAAAAGGAAATCATCACAGATCGTTTGCAGGCGGCCTATGTCGCCAAAATCTTACAGCCTCCGAAAATCTTACAGCCACATTCCAACTTATTAGAGGCTGTACTCATGAAGAATGAGGTCGTTATAGTTTTTCGGGAGCAGTTTACTCCACAGGAAATAGTATTCAAAAACCAACCTCGAACACTCCTTGCCGAAAAGATAATCAAAAGTAAAGACTCGGATAATGTGAGATTTTAGTTCCTGTCAGACACGCTTATAGAAAATGAAGCAAGAAGAAGTTGTAAAATATGGAACATTTTAAATCGCATAATTCGCCAAATTAGTGTCAAGGATCCGACTGCGGCTATGAGAATCCTACTCAGAAGGGACGATATCGCAGCGCGCCATGTAGACGACCAATTCTTAGTAGCAGCTTGTCATCCAGTAAAACCAGAAAAGCTGTTCCTGTACCACCAAGTCGAGGAGGAATGCTACGAGTATCTTCCAGTCCAAGTGAAAGAGCAAGTCGTGTTTATCGCTCCTAATACACACGACGTTAAACTACATTCAAGAGCAGTCAACTGCCCCTTGAAACCTCTTCGCAACAACCATGAAATTATTGCAGGACTTGGACTGAACAATTTTTTGACCAAACGCACCTTGTTTACAGGAATTAAACTTCCGGACATAGGAGACGAATGGATCAAACTAGCGATTGACCGCAAGCAAAGATACGAGCCAGCAGAGCAAGTCTCAAACCCCTTTGAACAAAGGGCGACCAGCACAGATGAGTTTTTAGAAGAAATTGGTGGCAAGGCAGAAGAAACTACAAAATTAATAAAGAACACACTTTATTTACTGTTGATATCATGGAAGTGGATATGCAGTTTTGTTTTATTCCCATTATTTCTCCTCTCAGTTTCGGGCATTTGATGCAAGTGTTTCAAAGATCGCCATCCTGCAGAAAAGGAAAAGGGAACAAACTCTTGGTTACTTTCATAAGACCCATTGTAAAAAACGACAAGGAGACTCAACTTTGAATGCAGCACGCTCCAGTTCAGATTATATCAAAATTGAATTCGTCACAAGCTCCGGCGTCGAAGTGTTGCGACAGCGAACTGCGAAGTTAAGCAAAAAAAATTTCCTTTTACTATCTTTGGGTCAACAGTTGTTTACGCTTAATGCATGACATTGTTTGTACAGGAAAGGCCTGTCCTTATGCTA